CCATCCCCCAGCGTCTGATGGGTTTCTCTTTCCCCGTGGCGGTCTAGGAGTGGGATTTGCAACGCGGCAGGTGGGGAACGTGACCAAGCCCACGGTGATCATCGGCAGCGAGGGGGACAAAGTGGTGATCAAGACTCAGAGCACTTTCAAAAACACAGAAATCAGCTTTAAACTCGGAGAGGAATTTGATGAAACTACGCCCGACGACAGGAACTGCAAAGTAAGTGAACTCTCGGGCTGCTGTGCCTGCTTTTTCCTCTTCTTCCTCCCCGCCCCTGCTGTATCTCTGGTAGGGTCAAAGGAAAAAATGGTAACTTTTGCCAGTTGTAGCCCTGTGAAGGGCAGGGAAGAAAAGACAAGATGGCATCTTCCCTACCCGCTTACGCCATGTCTTGTCCGAAGCAAGGTGTTACATGGCCAGCCCCTGTCTGCCTTCCAGCATGGAAGAACTGCATCAGCTGCCCGCTTCTCGTTCAGCCCGAGTATCATTTGGGGTAACGAAATGGGGAAATGGCTTCTTCCCTGCATCTTTGGGGGCTTAACGTAAACATTATCCCAAAGCACATCCAAAACTGTGGCTCTCATGAGGCTGGAACTCAAAGGAAACAACTTTTTTCATCCTTTGACCCAAACAAGAATTGTACGGGGTTCCTGCTTGAAACGGGCTTGGCTTTAAAATGGCTGGGACTACTTTACCATTCTACATCCACATCCCTCTTTTGAAGAGAATTCACTAGAATAGTGGATGCTGAATGTGTGAGCAGAATCCCAAATACTCCGAATGAATGTCTTTGTTTCATGCTATCTCGCAGTCAGTTGTGAGCCTGGATGGAGACAAGCTGGTGCATGTACAGAAGTGGGATGGCAAAGAGACAAACTTCGTGAGAGAAATAAAGGATGGCAAAATGGTAATGGTAAGTATAAAGCTCGCTGAGCATTCACATACACCGCTAACACTCCTCACGTACATTTATCTCAAGCTTCACGAACAGATAGTGTTACTTACATACAAACCCTTGAACTAATTGGTGGGGAAAGCTAGCAGGGATTTTTCAAATATTTATTTTGTTTTCTTTGAGTCTTGTTTTATTGACAACTAAAAAATTGCTAGTGGTTTTAGGCAGGCCAGCCTGTGGATTTCCAGAGCATATATGTTCTTTCTAGAGTTCGTGTAAATGCCCAAGCAAAAAAACAAAGTCCCGGTGAGCTGGAAAAGATACAACGTCTTTGATTATATAGGCAATAATCTGTTGCCAGTACTAATGCAGATTTCTTCAAAAACTTTTTTTATATATGCACGTGTAAATAATATTTAATTGCACAGAACAAGTATTTCCTTAGGAAAATAAAATTACAATATTGCAGGAGGTAACAGCATTTTCATATTTAATAATAAAGAGTTTATTCCTCCTATCTTGTTAAAAACTACAATAAACAGCAATTGTGTGAAGAGAAGTCTTGTTTTAAATTCACGTTCTTTTCCTGACTTTTCAGCAACAGGCGTATGCGGTGAATAAATGATGTAAGTTGCTATATATAATGTTCAGGGTGGCACTTCTCATGCTTATTTTTGGCACAGAGATGCAACTTTCAGAAATAAAACCTCTTCAGCTATGCTAATCTATGTGACTTGGCTGTTGGAGAGAACCAGTTAACTTGTTTTCCAAATACTTCAGAGACTATCTGTATGGATAGAGACTTCCAAATGATTAAAACCTTAAAGCATACAGACAGTGCAATACAGTGTGACAAGCGATTCAAGGGAAAATACGTGCTTTGTTTTTGGAAACAGCTACACGCATATACAGAAAAGCTTTTCCTTTGGAATTTGAACATGGTGAGATGCCCTGTTCCACTTGAGGAAACGCCTCCAAAACTGGCACACTGTAGTTGGTGTTCTGAACCACTGCAGCAGCTAAAATAATTGGTAGCTCTAGCTACATAAGTGCACAGAATGCATTTATTTTAATCCAAGGTTCGCCTTAAGTATGTGCCTATGCATAATACTACAGAATGTGGGTAAAGAGGACTTGGGTTTTTAGATTGCACATCTTGTAGTGTGGTCAGCTTTGTGAAAGTAAGTGTTAAATCTGTATTAAAACAATGCTGTATTTAAGAAATTACATTAATGAAAATTAGAAAAATTAAACAGCTCTAGCCTTACTGTAGTTGCCTTGTAAATGTACACATTATGTGCTTCTTGGGTTTGAAAGTAGAAAGGAGAAAGTTACGTTTATTATGGGAACTATAACTCAGGTTTTGCCTCTTGTTCATTTAAAATATCAATAATCTAGACCAGTTTGTTTTTCTATAAATTACATAATGTAAACCAACCTTGCTCTAGCACGGGCTTCTTAATATGTGTTAAGTCATTACAGAAAATGGTCCAGCATCTAACGTGTCTGTCTCTTCCTTGGACTTGCAGACTCTCACCTTTGGTGATGTGGTTGCTGTTCGCCACTATGAGAAAGCGTAGAGTTTACCTGACCTCTGTCCAGATGTGACTTCTGCTGGATGGATTAATGTACCGTCCATAACTGAACGTAGCTAAAATGCACATTTCTGGCATGAAAGGTTAATAAAGAGTTTTTGGGGGTGTGTTTAAAAAAAAAACAAACAACAAAACCAACAACTTTATGCCATCAAATTGGCAAGCTTGTGCTGTATAGTGAAACAGGTTAAACTCGGCATTAAATTTCTGAAACACTTGCCTCTTTTTTTACACTAAATGGAACATATTTGAATTGTTTTGGAATGCAGATCAAACAAATTAAAAAGTTTTTTAAACCTGTGTTCCTTTTGCATTTAATAAGCTAAAACTCCCTCCAGAACACTGGATTATTTGGAAGTTCATTTTTCTGAGTTAACAGAAAAGCATGTGGTACACAATGCTGCAGCTGCCTCTCTACGTGATGTAGACTACATGGGAAATGAAAAATTGCCTTCACTCTACTTCAGTGGCTTATCTTTGCTGGAGAAATCTAAAGCCCCTGTCTTCATATATGTAGGCAGAGAAGTGAGAGGCTTAGGCTGGTTTCAGCTCCGCTCTTCATTGGGAACTTGCTTTCCAGTGCATGTTAAGGCCAATGTCTATTGGCAGCCTTTGGTGTCGGGGGGGGGGGGGGGGGGGGGGCTGTTGTGTTATTTAATAGTTATGAGAGTTTTTCACTTATTTTGGTGGGTTTTTCTGCTAATATGCAAAAGATTGAATTAAATCAAAGTGCAGATTGAAGTGTTTCACAGGGTGGGAGGAAAGGACTGACTTGATAAAGGGCAGGGTGGGGGGAACCTGAAGTACAAAGCTCCACAGGCGTGGGGGGAAAACAGTACAGGACAGACTTCCTGAGATTCCCCTCCTGGAGCTGTAGTTTCATAGCTCATATGTACAGGAGATAACAATTTGCACTGTAAGCAATTTAAAATAAAATGCTGCTTAAAAGAGATAAATGAAAACCTTATTCCTGAAGAGTATTTCCCTAAAAGATTAGGGTGGGAAAAACTGCCTTACACTTCAGACTGTTAGGAAAATTGAAACAGGTTGCTGCAGGCAGCATGGAGGAGATGATTGTTTGGAGCACCCATGTTTTATGACACACTGACTCGGTGGACCACATCATGGAGGTGTAGCTGCCTACAACCCTTCAGCCATCCAAGTCTGTTTTCTCTTCTGGGGAACACTAAGAGTCCTTAATTATGAACCATTATAAGTATTGTTTTATTTGGTGGATATTGATCGATTTCAAAATCTAGACGCTAACTTTCTTCAGAGAAAGGAAAAATAGAACTTGTTCCAGTGGTATCAAGAGCTGCAGTCTCTGCTTTGGGCTGCTTCAGCTGCTATAGTGCGAGTCAGGTTTAAACATAATCTGCCCTTCGGTGTTACTTGCTCATTTAATCCTCAGCTTCAGTACCGAATACAGCTTTCTTCTGCCCCGCATCCGTTGCTGCCCCTTTGCCCACGGGTGCACTCGCCACACGACTGGCCCTCCAGCCACCCCTTCTCAGAAAGGTGGCGGCAGCTGCTTCTCCTTCGTCGCAGGGGAAAACACTTGGGTCTCCAGTGCTGGCACTCATCTTTGTGACAAGTGATTTGTAGGGTCGTGAATTAAAAGAACAAGGTTTTTATTGAATACAAGGAAAGGAATGCAGAGATAGATTGTTAAGACTTGGTTTACAAATAAACACTGAACAGTAAAGATTTTACATTACAGTCACTTTTAAACAAAGGTTACTCTTCCCTACATGCGTATGTTCTATAAGGCACATGAAACCATCACAAAGCTTAATGGTGAAGTCTTTTGTTCTGCTAAAGAGGAACAGTTTAATGTCAGATTAAATAAGGGAGAGAAACACTGGGAAGCGGTACCTGCAAAGTGCCTGTGGCACTGCTCAGGGGAGTGGAAAGGTGAGGGAATACCGACACACAGGACTTCCAGCTGCCGGCGAGACGGCTTCGCAAGGCCTGGGGATGCGGATCTGAATAGACCAGCGCAGCGGAACGTTTGGAGGCAGCTACGGGACCCGCGACATCGCTGCTCTGGTCTGCTCCTGGAACTGACACCGGGTACTCTTCCTCACCAGAAACTACTCTGACTTTGGCAACGAGCAGCAGATCCGCTGCCGTAAAGCCTTGGCCATGGAGGCTCCCATTTACAACACACTTCAGCACTTTCCTTAAGCTGTACTAGAGGCATACTCCACGGCGTATTTCACCAGCTTTTTCGATTTTTAAATCGTGTTAAGTGACCAGGATCCATTTTTACGTGTATACTGTAAGAAACCTTCCTTCCAAAAGATGCAGAAATCTCCCGTCGGGCATCGCAGCGCGGCTGCTCGGGGCAGGGTGAGGCCGTGCCGCAGGGCTGCCG